ATCACAAATGTTGCATGTTATTTTGATCCTTGTCATTTATATTTTTCTCAGCCATTTGAACATGGTGTTAATTCTTGTATAAATGCTTGATAGAAATCACCACTGAAGTAATTTTGTTCCAGTCTTTTCTTTGTTACAAAGCTTTTGATTACTTATTAAATCTCTTATTAAGCAACTGTTGAGATTCTTTATTTCTTTGTTATTTAGCCTTATTAATTTTTGTTTTTTCTGAAAATTTGTCCATTTTACCAAAATTACCAGATTTGTTGATACACAATTGTTGCATTATTTTCATATAATTCTTTTACATTCTGTAAGGCTGAGAGCAAAATCTCCACTTCAATTCCTGATTTTAATTTTTGCATCTTTTCTCTTTGTCTTAGTCTAGTTTAAAGTTGCAGGGATTTGCTGACATTTTCAAAGAGCCAACTTTTGGATTTGTTTATTCTTACTCTTGTTTTCCTATTTTCTACTTTATTTCTGTTCTACACTTTATTATTTTCATCCCCCTACTGAGTTTGTTTTTACAGCAGCTTATTCTTCTATTTCATGAATCTATAAATATAAGTTATTTATTTTAAGATCTTCCTTCTTTTTTAATGTAGGTATTTATTGCTATCAATTTTCTGCTGAGCACTGTTCTCACTGAATTCCGCAAGATTTGGAGTGCTGTATTTCTATTTTCATTTGTCTCAAAGTGTTTCCTGTTCTCCTAAGAGACTTTTTATTTAACTACTTGATTGACAGAGAGTGTTGTTTGATTTCACACATTGGTATAGTTTTCAGGTTCCGTTCTTTTCCTGAATACTAGCTTAATTGCACTAGGTCGAGAGAATTTATATGACTCCAGTCTCTCTGAATCTATTAAGATATTTCATAACTTAAAATCCTGCAAAATGTTCAATGTACACTTGAAAAGAAAATGTAATGGCTTTTCTTGCTTGCGATATTTCCCTTCAATTTCACTTCTATGTAGGATTTATTGGTCAGCATTTTCACTGCTGCAATATTAGTTTCCATAGTTGTGCTCAAATCTTTGTTAATGTCCATTGCTCACATTTCCTACTTAATCGCTTCATACGTTTAACATATCTTCCTCTTACACATATAATCTTTGCAGTTTTAAACACGCATAAATGTACATATCATTGTCTTGTTTTCTTGTACTCATGATAGTGGAAACACAAGTATTAGCCCTTAGAATTGAACATATTTCTACGTCCCAAGTTGTTTCTTTAATGAATTTAATAGTGAGGATTTGCCCAATTACTGTTACCCCTCAACATAGTTATTTTTCAATTTATTAAACATACATTTGTCTAGCACTTACATTTCAACAATGTCTGTGGTATTATGCATGCCACAAGATGAACATCTACAAAACACCGTAAGAAAAAACCACAAAGGGAACTTAGAACACTTAGGTACATAATTGGGTTAAGAGATGTATGAATTAATATATCATATTTAATTCATACTGAAGACATTTATCAACTTACATTAAAGATTGTTATTCTGTTGAAATGGTCAGTGGAATTCTAATAAAAGAACTAAGCATAGTTGTTAAATATAATTTCAGAATTTTTTTCTGGTATCATGAAATGAACCCAGAGTCTTTGTATTGAGCGACATCTCCAGGCATTTTTAATTACTATTGTTTTTATTTTTGTTTAGTTTGAGAAAAGGTTTCGCTAAGTCGCTAATTTACCCAGGTTGTGATCAAATTTTCAGGGGTTCTGCCTCAGCCTCCTAGAGACTGAGATTACAAGTGTATATCACTATGTCAGCCCATGTGTTATTTCTTAAATACATAGCTTAACAAAAGACCATATATAATGAATGTCATTTACTTTTGCATAATTAAATAATGGTTAATGAGAATATTAATTTCTTGTTCAATGAGCAAAAATATTGAGTAAGACCTATTTAAAAATGATCAATACATGGAATACCATGTAATCTATGTCAATTGTTCTGTAAAGAAACAGAATGACTTGATCATAAGCATGTACATTAGTACAAAGTATGCCTGATAAGTAAAAATAAATAAAAATTAATAGTTATAAATTATATATGATTTTGTAGGTATACTTTGATTTAAAAATTATCCTTGAAATATTTATATTTTTATATACAGATGCATGCACTTCAAAAGCAATTTGATGTTCTTATTTCCTGATCTATTGCCTCCTCTTCTTCCTAACTTTTCCCAATGTTGTGTTCACTTAGTTCTTTCTAAAACTTTCTTATAAAATCTAATCTGTAAAATGTTGTTTTTTTTAGGGCTGGACTCAGTGACAGAATACTGGTTTAGCTTACTCAGGGTCTTGGATTTGATTTGAAGCACAGATAAAAGTAGATATTATGGCATAACCAACTTCATAAGCAAAATAATAAGTAAATGAATATATGTAAAACATTTAGTTTGTGGCTTGCCATAAAGTTGCCACTCATGTTATTTAAATGGTCATTTCAATAATTCTATAATAATTAGGTTTACAATAATAATGAATGAGATGTATATTCAGTTATCTTTATCATTCTTTTTTTCAAAAGATTGTATATACTCAATATCTTCCATATCATGTTCTCCATTCTGAATTGAGTGCGTGTTACTCCAAATCAACTTTTCTCCTTTTATTAACTCGTATCAGTAACTTTCATCTAGTCAAATCCATTCAATGTATTTGTATTTCTGTCTCCTCGCTGTCTCCAATATCTACATCTATATCTATTTCTCTGTCTCTGTCAATATCTATGTCTATGTCTGTATCTAATTCTGTCTATAACCACATCTATATCTAGCCCAATATTCATATATAGGTCCAGATAGGGATCTATCTAAAATTTCTCTCTGTGTTATACTGAGATTGTGTTCTCTCATATTTTCCAAATCCTGTCAATTTAATAGTTAAGGATTCTGTCCTCTGATCCTTCCTCCTTTTTTGTAAGTTGTAGATACCTAACTTCTCATGCTGGAAGCACTGATTGCTATATTGATTAACAGCCACTGCTATTCTTCTGTTTTACATGTACTTAGGTATATTGGTCAACTGAAGATCAAATTGGTATTTTAAGGAATTTTAGAATTCATGTAACTCAAAAATCTCTAATTTTCTCATTTTTTCCTTTTGCTTTTCTTAATGGCAATAGTGTTCACTTCAGGAGTCCAAAAACTTTCCTAAACTTCATCATGAATTATTCCTTTTTTTCTAAAGTTGCTCCACATGATCAAGAAACCCACTGGTCCTCTCTTCCAAGAATCTTATCTTCAGTTTCCTTTGCTGTCTCTGTCATCTTTAGGAATAGCATCCTTATATCTTATCTAGACTGCTTCAGTAGCCTTCAACATTTCTGCCTGTCTTTGGTCATTTCTATATTCTAACTCTGCTTCCACAAATAAGCCAGTAAGATCCTATTAGTAGTAATAGGAATATTTAGGCCAGATAATGTCTAGAGATCTACTATACAACATAGTGCCTAATTTAATGGTAGTATGTGCTACGACTTAAATTGTGTTAGAATAGCAGAACTCATCTACTAATTACACATACAATTAATATAAAGAACATGAGAAGAAACATTGGGCAGTAATGGAAAGGTATTGGTAGTGGTGTTGGTTTCATTAGTGTATACTAATCCCCAAATTAATTGAGTTATGTTTGTTAAATACATTTGACTTTTTACATGTCAACCTACAAATTAGTTATTTAAAAAATAATAGCTAAGAATTTTGTAGCATTTATTAAATAACAAACATTATTCTGAGAGTTTTACCTATAGGATGGCCTCAAAATACTCTAGTGACTTACATTTTCTAAAAGTTTAAGTTACATTTCAACAACTCACCTAAAAAGCCTTTTTCATCTTTGCCTCAGACTATTTTTATGGGTATCTCCACTGATTCTGAAATGATTGCCACAGAGCTTAGCATGTTCTTTCATCCAGCCATGTCACTGAATAATTTGTTTTTGACTGGGATTCTTGTCCACTAACCTGTTTTAGAAACTCCTAGTCATCCTTCAAGACTCAGCTCAAAATTTAACTCAGCTACCTTCCCAATGAGATGATGTATATTGTCATTTTCTATAACTCACATATGCCTCTTCTATTACATGTTGTCTTTTATTATCATTCTTTCTTTTTACTCTGTTACTATCCATAAAACTAAGCTATTTGGATGTAGGAACTATGTTTCATTTGTATCTGCATCCCTAGGTCCTGGCACAGTACCTGAAAAACTACATTTTTAGTAAAACCTTCTAAATGAATTGGTGGGCTAAACACAGAATAATAACCTACTTTCTTCCAAAATGTGCATGATCTAATTCACTTATCTCCTCAAAAGTAACTAAATTCCTTTCCATGAATTTAATCATGAAAAAAATTTTGCTATTAGATACACTAATAACCTCTCTATTACTTAAATTACAATTAAAATCAAAACAAAACAACAACAACAACAAAATGCAACCAAAATCTTAAAAAATGATATTCCAGATGCTAATTTTAAAAACTGACTTCCCTTCATTGGTTTAATCAAGCAAACCAGACACATGAATGGAAGAGAATGAGTTCTCTCTCTTAGCTTTCTTCTCTATCAAACTTAAAACACTAATATCATCCTTTTAACCTAAAAGCAAAAGAGAAATAAGCCTAGGTCTAAAAACATGATACAGTTAGACTTTCCATTAAGGAAATTCCCCTTAAGCTAATGCGGAGGCAAATGTTAACAAGAAGAATGATTTAACAGGAATAAAAGAGTGAATTTATTGCCAGGCTATTTAAGTACAGTTTACATTTTTTGTATTAATAGTGTGGCAGGGACTCTGTATTGCACATCTCTGAGCCTCAGTTTCCTTATCAATAAAGTAAAATCAATCCTCCCTGACCTGTACATTACAAAGTTTTGATGTGAGAATCAAGAGAGAGAATGCCTTTGAAACTGTGCTTTGAAACATGATGTGCTTCCCTATGACATGTGCAGCTAATTCACTCACCAAATACGGTTCTTGCAGGCACAGATTCTCTGTTAAGCCAGAATGACACTTGGGAGAGAATGACAGTCATGATGCAGGGTAGATAGGTCTGAATCACAAAATATCCAATTTTTCTTTTCAAGTGGAAATGAGCTGTCATTACAGTATATTCACCTGGAGGAAAAATTTTAAAAGCTTAAGGAACTGTAATAGTCAATAGTTGGAACATTTTGGAAAAGGAAGAGATTAAAGAAAGAAGTCTTTGATAAAAAAATCACATACCTATCATCAGAACTATACCGATTTAAAGCATCTCATTAGCATAGCAAGAGCATTTAGAAGAGAGCACTCATAATATCAAGAAACTAGCTCTGATGTCCCATGATAAGACATTTGTGTATCTTTTTTCAGTCACTGCTCCTAACCAACAGGTTTTAGAATTCATAAAGGCCCTCTGCCAGCAGATTATCTTATTTGTTTTGGCCCCTGGTTCACAGGGACACAAACTTTAAACCTCTGCTATGACTGATCAACTCGATTCTCCTTTGCTCTTTAAAGTTTTGATCTCTGGCCTCATTTCCAGCACAGAATTTCTGGCCCAGATTTTCCACATTTAACCCTGTTACCAACTCTGCATTTTTCTCTGCTGTATGTCCGCTCTAATTTGTTTCAGTCCATTCTATCTGATTCTCCTTATCTACCTTCCTTTTTTTCTCCCAGGGTTTTAATTATAGCCAGATGTAAGATAATTAGCCCACACAGCTGTTTCTTTCTTAGATGGCACTGGCCCTTAGAGAGGGAATAAGCTTTTCCACACAGGCCAGTAGTAATTATCCATAAATCAAGAGTTGAATAATCATGAATTGTCTAGAAGAGGGGGGAAAGAACAGAAAACTAGGCAAAGTGTTATCACTTGTTTGAAGGTAAATTTTAATACCAACTCATACAAGAAAATATACGTTTAAATATGTGATGTATTTAGGTCCATGTTACTCAAACTTTGACACATATGAATCCTCTTGAATCTTGATAAAACACATATTCTGGTTCATCAAGGGGTATAAAGCAAAATTCTTAATATCAGAAAACCTCCCCTGCAGTCTATTTGACTAGTTTCCAGATCTTAAAACAAAATGTTTTAAATCATGCAACATATTTTCAATGACTTTATATTCTGCAAACTTGTTTTACTAACCTGTACTGGATTTAATCGTCTCTTTCCCAATTGATTGGCCTAGTAGATCATACTGATTTAGCCTGGAGCCATCAGGAGCAACCTGTACTGAATCAGATGCATTGTAAGTCCATATATAAGTGACTTCAGAGGTGGTATATGCATCTGTCAAAATCAGAAAAGAAAAATTGTAAACACTTAACTAAGAACTGACAACCGAATGCAATGGCAAAGTTTGTTTACTCATACATTCAATTTACTATAATCTTAATATTTATAAGCAAAATTTTAGAATTTAGAATTTTAAGGCAAAAAATGTGTCCTTAGAATTTACAAATTCAATACAAGTTATATGATGGGAAACAAGAGAGATAATCGTGCATCTGAGAATATTCATTGTAACTTCTTGGAAATATGAACAGCAAACTTTTCTTTAACATCTATAAAAAATGCTGTGTTCTCAGATGGGTACAACATCAGTCCTGACATAGTAGATGAAACTAAGTTATTAATGTTCTATGTCTAGTCAAATAGTTTATTTAGAAATAGTAATCATTCATGAAATAAATATCATAATCTAAATTTATATTGCTTTCTGAACGTGAAAGTAACTTAGTTTCAAGTTAAATGACTTAGTAATCATGATGTAATATATTTTATTAGAAGATTAAGAATTTCAGAAAATGTTCAAAGTAATTAACGCTCATGGGCTGGGAATTACTTCAGCAGCATAAGTACCTGTGTGGCAAGCACAAGGTCATGAGTTCGATCCCCAGTACAAAAATAAAGTTAGTACTCATGAATATCACTCAAAATACTCTCTCGGACTTAGAAAGAGAGAAAACATAGGGCAGACATAACTGTCATTTATTGGGCCAAAAATGGAGAACTAAGCAGAAGTGAGAAGACTCCACAGCTAGAATATAGGTGAGGTGCTCTATCTGGCCTTAGACTTTCTCTGTCCTGGTCTTTCTCTTGTCCTTATGGGCCCTGTGGGAGAACAGGTAAGCTCTTCACATAAGTAGTCTCTCTATAGTTGAAAAAAAAAAAACATAATTTCTGCTATTCTTTTAACCTTTTGTATAACATCTATGCAGTTTTTTTGCTCATATAAATGATTAGAAATGTTAATTACTCCTGATGCCTGTATTGGTATCACAACCATATTCTCAGTGATTGCATAAACCAACTTATTTGCCATCAATAAATTGCATCACTTAGTATCATTATACTGGAGTGATACTTGCACTGAAATTGTTTCAAGACCTTGATGATAAATAAATTTTCATTCAAGCATGGGTAAAAATACATAGAACGTTTAAGAATTTGTCTCTTATTTCCTGTGTAAACTTTTAATGACATAGTTCAATGTTATTTATTTTTTAACATAGCTACTAAATGTTTATATCAGTGAAATAGCATTTTATTTATGCATGTATTTACCTATATCCACAAGCAAATTATATATCATGTGAAACCTTTGATATAGGTCCCTTTAAAAAGTGTATATATATATATATATGCAAATTTATTTATATAAGTGTATATACCGTAAGTAAATGCATATGCTTTTATAGCAGGTAACTATACAGTTTCATATTAATATAATTCATATATGAAACAATATAGTTTTATATTAAATAATTCTAATCATCCAAAGGCCTAAATTGTTTATTACTAATTTCAATTAATTACTAATAATTCATCTGAGAAGATGAAATGATGACTTAGTATTGCAGCTCACTAAAACTTATTTGAAGATCATCAAGTGATTTCTTTTGTTCTGCCCATGGATATCTGTACTGGCTCCTTTTCAACAAAATTAGAAACACTTAAAAATCCAACAGATCAAAAGATGCATTGTACATGTCAGTTTACATTAGTCTTCACCATAATCCCCAGCTATGAACCTTAAATTACTCACTTCCAAAAGTAATTGTAATTACATTGTTCTTGAATTTTGATGTTAACTTTAAGCATAAATAAGAGAAAGGAAAGACTTTAAACATAATAACATTCTTAAAAAATTAGTGAGCTACTAATGGGAGGGACTGTGATTCATCTCTATCAGTAATTCTCTGTTTTTTCTTCTTAGATGAGTAAACACAGTATTTCAACGTAAACAGAAGATACAGAATACAGAAACATGGGGACGTACCCAAGAATATATTGCAAAAAAGAAAGATCATCATTCTTTTTTAAAAAGCAATTACAGTGAATCAGTTAGGAATCTACTGTTTCATTTCTTAGATTTTGGATCTGATGAATGCACAAAAAAGAGTTATAAAGTGCACACTGGTGGGTCTGTGCATGCATGTGTACACACAAACACACACACACTTACACACTTACACACAGGCATGTGCACACATACATGAAGATAAACCAGGAGGCCATCAGCTTTGTTTTTAGTGAGAGTAAAGCAGGAGGATAACAGTTATTTTTTTTTACAAAATTCACTAAAAACTGTACTTACAAATTAGGTCATTACTAAACAGATTTATTTAATTTTGTAAAATAATCTGAGTATTATACTGAATTATACATGGGCATACTAACTCTTAATGTTGGGCAATCAAAAAAATACTCTCAAGCCACTTTTTACTAACAGTCCTATAAGATAATATGCAATGTTTTGGGGGTGCATTCACAGTATGGTGTAATCTTTACTTCAATCCAGGAAGTTTAAAACTGTGTAAAACAAGACAAAAAAATAAAGATATGAGATGAGAAAAAATCAACAAATCAAGGCTGAATTTAAAATTTTAAACACAATTGAGGCTTCTCCTATTTGAGGACAATGATAAAGTAATACAAATTCAATCATTTTTAAGGATAGGAAGGACCTCTATGTGAAAGAGGAATAAATAACTACAACAAAAGCAATCAAAGCTGCTTCTTTCAAACATTGTTTCAAATCATGTGAAGGTATGACTTTGTCCATGTATCTGTTAGTCCATACTTTCAACAATAGGCACTCAGCACCAACTACTAGCAAGAACAAGTAGGAGCACATGCAAATTGTTTGTTCAATGTATCAGAATACATATATGAAGAATGTAAAATAATTGACAATTATTTAACAGGGAATGCCTAACTGAAATTATATGTTGACCATATGATTTCTGGATTGAGAAAACTACTATTCTGTAGTTGAGCTATATGAGATGTTTAAATAAATTTAAAGTAAATATTTTTAAATATTATTTCATGTTCAACACTGATACAACACATCATTTATATTTGATGATAGTCATAATAACAATGCCTTGTGCAAGGCAAAATGCCTTTCCTTCCTATATCACTACTGCATCTTGGGTAAATTCCTTTCGTGATATTAAGGTTTTTCAACTTCTTTTTGATGACACTTATGCAATGCAAATCAGTTTTTCTCTGCTGCATCTGCTGTGGTTTTCTCAGCATCGTGTTTACATTGTATGCCATGATTGACTAACTTAAATAATGTTGGGACAAATGCCATAATTGAGATGATGGTTTCCATGACAGTAAAGAAAGGCATGTGGTTAAACGAAAAGGAGGCTCCAAAGAAAACTGAGAGGTGACACTTTTTGTAAGAATGCACAAGGCAAACAAGACTGAACCCAGTCCACAAAACTATGGTCATCAAAATAGGTAGAGGCTTTGGTATTCGTATTTTTGTCCTTCTTTTCTTTTCTGGATACATCCTATGGAAAGACGCTTTTCAGTAATACATACTTTTTAATCAGGTGAGAGCACTGCATTTCTATTCAACAGAAAAAAAAAAATAAGTCCAAAACTGCCAGAATTTACAAAGACAGAGTTGCTAGCAGAGCACAATTTCTGAAAAGACCAAGCAAGGGCATATGCTCACACAAGAGCAAAGCTGCTTAGCAGGGTTCATGAATTTAATTTTCAGCCTGCCTAGGGAGATGATGTGACCTTCGTCCTTTCCCATTACTGCAGAATGTGCATGCTTCTGCTTGACATACAAGACATAACCCAGTGACCTAAAGAATGGCCAAAGGCACAGAGCTTTTCTGAAATGCTCTGTATACACAGAAGGTGCCTGCATGCAGCAGTCTAATGACATCATATCCTTGAAATTTAAGGGGGAAAAATCCCTCTTAGTAGACACATCGTATAGAAGGCAACTGTACAATTTCAGCTTCTGTGACGGCTTTCTCCAGAAGGCTAAATACAAATCACAAAATCTATTTTTTATAGTTCCTTCTTAGTTGATGAAAAAAAGTTTATTTTATATGTTCTATGTTTTTTGAAAAAGATGGTAAATTATGGTCCTGACCTTAAGGGAGATCTAGGTCTATATTTACATGTGTAAAAAAAAAAAAAATCAGGTACTCTTTCCTAGCAGTAGAAGAAGTAATAATTTAAATGCCACAATCAAAATATGTGAGAGTAATTTAGGGTTAGCAAATTAGTTCCTTCAGTGTAATTAGCATGTCTTTTACTTCTATAGTTTACCGAGCAAGTACAGCATTAAGCATTCCATAATGTGAGAAACAGTTACACCCCAGAGCGAGGCTGCTGCCTATTCCTGATGTTAACTCAAAACATGCACTTTACCCCTTATACTTACAGCTGCCAAATTTCAGAGGACACGAATGAGCATCCATTGGAAAATCCTCCAAGTGCATTGGACATTCAGCTTGAACTGTAAGCCTACAAGTCAAAATGCCACTCTGTGTTTAAATAAATTTACAATTCAAGAAAAATAATTTGTCTGTGTTTCAACAAAATTAATGATGAAGTAAAACTTTTGTTAGAGTATCATATTGGGAAGTTGGCATTTAACAAAAGTCCATTCACATTTAGGAAGGTTTTTATGAATATGCTGGGTTATACTAAATCTGAACATAAATAACAAGTAATTAGAGATGAATTTTACATAACCATTTCATACTCTGTTGTTTATTAAGAAGTAAAGAAATCATTCACTATTTTTGAAGGACTATTTCCCCTTAACCCAATATTAATGTATAAAACTTTCAAAAAATTTAAAACTCTATTATAAAGAGATTGACATGTTCCCTATTATTTTGTTGAGAACCACATAGTAAAGTTGATAACAATTCGGTATTGGTTCAGCAGACTTCTCCTCAACAGTATGTCAACTATCAATGAGTATCACATACAATATATAAATATAAATATGAAACACAGAAATAGATGTAAGTATATACATAAATGTGAGATACTAAAGGTATCTTACTGAGAATAAATTGTTGGCTAAATGATAGGCACAAGTTCTTAATGTTAGATACATTTCTTCCATATTGTTTCTAAATAAAACAAGGGTGACACAAATAGCAATCATAGACAAGATACTCATTTTCATCTTTTTCAATTATTCCATTTTATACAAAGGCAATCTAAACAAAGTGAACACTAAGTGAAACACACAGAGAATTCTGTTCTTACTGGGCACAGCACATGTGACCAAAGGTTAATCGTAGTTTCTATGCTTCTAGGACAGAATTTACATAGAGATCTCTGCAATGTTTTTTAAAATTCTGTATGTTCTTCACCTATAATTTGCTTACATCCTGAATTTCCAACCATTGTCTTAATCTATAGGAACAAATGATCAAAGTGTAAAGGGTCCTGCATCTTAATGTTCTGCAAGACTCAGAGAAAGGCAGAAAGAATAGGCCACACTTGCATCACTTCCCTTTTAGGTAATGACCGTATAATAGTAAACCCTCAAGGGTTTATTTTTTTTTTTTCTTTAAAGAACAGAATTACTATAGAGTTGTACTGCTGCTACTATGAAATACTTTTCATAATGGCAAACCAGCAGGTAAATTTAGTTTGAAATGACAATGTATCAAAGGCATGCCATGCAGGTTCTGTTTATATATAGCTAATAACAGTCTTCTTGCTTTAAATTCTTTATTAAACATTAACTTTTTATTCTACAACATTGACTAGATTTGTGTGTTTTTCATTCTTAATACAAGGAGCTTACTTTAAAATATTAATAGCCAAAATGGAATAGTGGTTATGATCAACAATAGTTTACTTCTTTCAGTAGTTCCATTAAAGTTTGAATAATATGAAATCAATAAACAAGAAAACTTTCAATAACAAAATGACAAGTTCATATGGATAGATCTAGTGCATATGTTTATGGTATCCAATTCACTTATAAGCCTTAATGAAAATTCAGTTTTCTTTCTAGAGTAACTGTATAAGGGGAAGATCAAAATATTAGTAAGACCTTGCTTAAGAAGCAAGGTCTATTTGATGGTATATTAAAGATAATTTGATGGTATATTTGATGGTATATTAAAGATAAAATTATATGCTGATGTAAACATTCAAATTATGATATTAAAATAGTACTCGATTACAATGTGTAATGGTCAGTAAACAAGTGATCATAGTTAAGTCTTAAGCTTTAAACCACTAAGATAAAAATCAAATTCATAGTACTCTTTAGTTTTTTTTTTTACATAGCTAAGTATTTTCAAAGCATATTATGAATATATAATTAGGTTGGCTGTTAGTTTAATGCATTGATTTTTCAGTATCATACACAGCATGTCAGATATAAAAACATACCTCATTGTATATAGCAGAGTTCCATCATCCTGGATTCGAAGTAGTTTATTTGGCATTGTCATATTATGAGCTACGGATTTCTTTCCATTGTGAAAGAAGGTATCCGGAGTCCAGATTTTGCTGGCCATTAAATTATTAAGCCGAAGGATATTCATAGGACCTTTGAATTTTAAACGCTCATCTTTCCATCTTTGTCGAAAAAAAACATCTATTGTATATTCCTAAAACATAAAATAGCACTATTAGAAAATAATAAATAGCTTTTATATACTAAGACTCTATACAATTTCAAACAAACTAATACTCTACTTTTGAGACAGCTATATTGAGAGGATTAAATTTTACATCAGAATTATTCTTTCAGGTTATTAATAAATAGTACTATTGGGATAAAGTCTGCATATATCCACAATTAGCTATATATTTTTATGAAAAGCAAAAATAATTTACTGTCTCGACTTCAGGTGAACAAGATCTAAGACAAGCAGCTTTACTACAATCTATAGTTTAAAATTGCTTAAAAAGGGTATATGCTTTTGGCAGGGTCTAGGTGGGTTGTTTTAGTTTATCCCAAGGAAAAAAATATCAGCAGGTAATCTCTCTTGTAGCATAAATAAATAAATAAGCAAATAAACATTTAGAAAGGAAGAAAGGGATACAACTTCTAAGCACATCCTACTATATGAGTCATCATTTTCTGTTATCAGAAAAACTGTAGAATATATTTCTTTTTTAATCCTATAATTAGTGAGATACAGCATTAGTTGAATATGTTTTGAGATGATTATTTCCATAAAGTTTATATATGAAATTAGTTATGAAGTAATTTGATCACTCAAAGAATGAATATTTTGGAAATAAAATTCCTCATAATTATTTTGCTGTACAACTTCCAGAGAGACACTCTTTACTCTATATTAAGAGGCTGCATGCATTTTACATGAGACATACAACTTACAAAGGCGAAAATCTATTAGGTGTTAAATTTTTTTTAGTGTGTGTTTGTGTAATCATTTGTTTTATAAATAATTAAAACATCTGAATTATAAAATTGAGATTGGAAATTCTGAAGCTTCAAGCTCAAAATCACATTCTTTACATGTTTCAAAATAAATAACTGGGCAATTGCTAATTTTACTAAGCCAAAATTATGCTATAGAAAAGTTAGATTAATAAAAGGGTAATGTAATAATGAAATATTACTCTCATGATTTTTTTTTCTTTTTTCCGGTACCGGGGATCGAACTCATGACCACCTGCTTGCAAGGCAGGTGCTTATGCCGCTGAGCTAAATCCCCAGCCCCAGGTAAATTATTCTCAATGACTCGTCAAAATTTGAAGGAATGATGGTAAGAAGTACAGATTCTAATGCCATATATGTAGGAGGTAAACAGTTGCCTTGGGCTGCACTCTTAATTGCTAGAAGTTTTCACAACCCAAAACACCCTCATTCCTGATGGCTTGACTACTCATTTTTAATGTCCAATTTCATCTAAATGGAATTGCAAAAATGAATTTATGCAAATTTTTCCAATAATACAGCCTCAAATTCCAACATAATGTGTATACATTTGGATTTATTTTTCCAGGCCATTTAAAGATGTTTAAAAAACTATTCACAAAAAACCTCAAATTCAAATATTTGCTTCTTGTAAAGTCAGCAAATGTCTTATCTGCTTAAGAGGTTATTGGTATGACAATCATTTCCTACAGGACTATCACAGAGGAAATACTTCAACTTTACACCTTTTTGGTTGATCTCTTCTCAAAAATAGTTTTGAAGGACATTGTTTGTCTTCATGGTTCACAGGGTCCCCTATGTGTCCTGTCAGTCTATACAACATGGTCTGTATCTTTTTCTCCCTCCTACAAAGGCAGACTCATGTCATGCCACAGGCAATTTTAGCAACCCACATTTCTTCTGATTCCTCAAAATAAGGCAAGTTCTCCACCTGCCTGGGCTGGAAATTCTACTCACAACCATCAACTCAGTTCCTTAAGTATTTGGGAAGAGAAAAAATATCTCTGTATCTTTATAAAGCTCTCTGTTACTGAAAAATCATTTCTATTGCAATGACGTTTGCCTTTTTGCCTCACAGCCACTTTGTACGTCTTTAAGAAAAGAAACATGGCTTTTATTTGTGGTTATTTCATTTCAAGATATATAAAACAGTATAAGGACTATTACAGACACTTTAGAAAAATCATGTAGGAGAAATATTATCACAGAGATTATCAGAGCCCTACATCCTCTGTTTATCTCTCCTCAATTACTTTTCCAGTTCCCTGAGGAAAGAGTTACTTTAAATTTGGTGTTTATCAGTTCTACACCTGAACTTACAAATTTACTACGTAAAAATGTACTTAGTGGCATGTTTTAAACATTTATATAGATGATATCGCACCGTCTACCCACAATTGCATTTTTCAGTAACTTTATTGAGATTTATTCCTGTTAATATATCCAGCGTCTCCATTCATTTTCACTTTTACACTGCGTTCTACTGGAAAACTATTTCACAATGTGGTCATCTTTTTAGCTTCTTCTTAAATATCTTCTATCTTTCCGGTCTGTCATTGCCACAAACAATACCGCTATGTACATATTTGCGCAAAGGTATGAGAAATACTTTAGATCAGAGATTAGCAAACTTTTTCTTAACTACTAGATAACAAATATTTTAGGAGATTTGGTCTTTATGGGTAGTGTCACTGCTACTGAACTCTGCCAGCATAGTGTAAAAGCAACCAGAAACTGTACATAAGTGAATGTTTGTACACAAAAATGAACAGCTGACAGGATTTGGTTTTTTAGTCGAAAGAGAGCTGAACACAGCCCTAGACTAAATTTACTAGTGAAATCACTGGAATCTGTTATATATCCACATGAAAATATCAAGATATTTTGCACTGAAATACCACTATGTATGTAAATTAATATTCTCAATAGCATGCAGTATACTTCCTTGTCTACAGCTTGGTACTGTAGGAACAAAATATTTCGCATCAGCCATTAGAATCAGTACAAAATTATTCATAGCATTAGCATGCAGATTTCTCTGCTAACTTTTAAAACGTAATACATTTTTATGTTTACTAATATTTCATTTTATGAATTATCTTATTTTTTATTTACTTATTCCCTTTCAGGTTTCCTATGTTTTCTTATTGAGTGATGATAATAATTTATATATTATATATACTATTACTTCCTCATAGGATATATAGCTCAATAACAATGCCCACACATATATAAAAAGTATATTCCTTTACTTTACAGAGATTTAAATGTAGTGTTGCTCACGTTTAGGCTTTTCATCAACTATATTTACTGTGAATCATATAACAGTCCAATTTTCTTCCTTTCCTAATGGAATTTTAGTTGTATTAGCACTAATTATCGATTGATCCATTCCTCATACAAATATACAATGCCATTTGTATAGCGTATCTAGTGGTTATAGAATTATGGTTCAATATTTAGTGTATGTGCTGTTAAAGTCACCACATAGCTTAATTTTTTATTTCTGCTTTTCAAGTATTTGTCTATCTGGCAACCAATTTCAAATTCTTGAATGCAGTTGTGTGATTTTCCATTCACTGTATTTCCCCTATTATTCAATTTAAAATGATTTATAATATCAAGTATGAATTTTCTTTACATTGGAGACATTGTGGTCTGTGCTTCTAATCCATTGTTTTCTAATCCATCTGTGTTTTCTAATCCATTGACTTCTTTTATTTATTTACTCTTTACCACTAATCCCTATATTTTCAACAGTGCTTGTAAGACATGAATTCTTTAAAATTAAAATTTATTTTTAAAATTAATTTTATTGATACAATTTAGATATACATAGTGATCATATTCAACATAAGGAATTTGTGCCTGTATGACATACCTTAGTTGTTCTTTTTTCCCCTAAAGAGATGAGTCCTTTTTGTGCCCTCTTCCCCTCCTTATTTGCAAAATTTTGTTTCCATTTTATCCTGTTTTTCTCATTTTTAAATTTTCTCTTCCATCCCTCTCCTCATCAACTTCCCTTTCCTTTTGAACAATTACTTTCTATTTCACAATATCTATTATACATTTTGGTTCTTATTTATACTTTCAGTTTCTCACACCAGAAAGATAATGTAATATTAATATTAATGCTTATGTTTCCAATTTATTTCACCTAAGGGTATGAACGCAAGTTCTATCGAGTTAGCTATAAGTTTAGCCTTATTTATGGTTGAGTGTACACCACTGTATAAAAAAAAAACATTTATTTTATCCATTCACCATTGATGGGCATTTGGGTTGTTTGCAAGATTTAGCTATTACAAACTGTGTCGCTATCAACATGGATGCACATATAGGGTTGTGGTATGATGCTTTGATTACTGTGGGAAAAGCTATGTCAAATAGATCCTCAAGCTTTAGTTTTTTGAGGAATCTCTGCACTGTACCAGTCTACACTCCCATAAACAGTGGAGAAGTGTTCCTTTTTCCTCACAGGCCCACCAGCATTTGTAATTAATTGATTTGTTGATAATAGCCATTTTTTCTGGCTTGAAATGAAATCTTAGCATTGTTTTAATTTGCATCTCTCAAATGGCCAGTGATGATGAACATTTTTTCATGTATTTATTTGCTGTTTGTACTTCTGAGAGTGTCTATTCATTTCACGTGCCCATTTTTGGATTGAGCCTTTAAATTTGGGGATTCTGGCCTTTTTTCAATTTTTTATATGTTCTAGATATTAGTCCTCACTCTGAAAAACAACTGGCTTAAGATTTTTCCCTACTCTTCAGGCTATCTTTTCACTGCGTTGGTGATCTTTTTCATTGTGCAAAAGTTTTTTAATAAGAGATCAAGTTATTGATTCTTTGTAGTATTTCCTGTAAGGTTAGGGTTTGGTCAAAGGCTATTAGAAAAATGGAAAAACATCCTTTGTTCTTGGGTAGGAAGAACCAACATAGTAAAAATGGCCAAACTCCCAAAATTGCTACACAATTCCTACTAAAATACCATTAGCATATCTTACAGAACTAGAGAAAACGTTCCTAAAATTCATTTAGAACCAGAAAAGATCTAGAATAGCAAAAACAATTCTGGACAACAAAGGTAAGGCAGGAGACATCAAAATCCTTGATTTAAAAATTCTTACAAGACTTTTTATTATTGAATCTAGCTATCTCAATCTTTTTATAGTAATTCAGCCCATTTACATGTATTGTGATCACTAATATTGAATACATTCTTAGACTATATGGTTTTTAATGGTGACAGTAAAATGATGCATGCAAAAGAAACAACACATAGATTTTAGATGATTAATTGATAAAAACAAATAGGGGAAGAACTCAAGAAAATTAAGAGGACCCATAACAGAACAAGCACAATTTAACAAATCCAGTACACAAAGTGGATTAAAAGAAATGTTTAATGTCAAAAAGAACTTAAGAAAAATACAAAGATTAAGAAGGTGAAATTGTACTAAAAGACAATGAAATCTTAGTAATGGAGAACACCAAAGCCAGAATTCAAGGAGTTGAAGAGCAAACAGACTTCATGTAGGAAAGGACAAATTAGTCTTTGCTCATTATCAAATATGTAAATGCTAGTAAGTGAAATTAGAGTTTAACTGGTAAAATCTAGACACTGGCTAATATTATCCAATGCTACATTAAAAAAGTCAGTCATTTAGAATTACAACCACTCATTGTTAACTTTGAAGTCATGAGGCTGGTGTTGCTGGATCCCACCCAGACTCAGGCCAATCATAGGTGAATTTGCTCATGCCTCTGTGGATTAGATGGCCATTGGCTCTTATAGTCTACCATCCTGTCAAGATACTTGGCTCTAAGTGTTCCTCATCCTCCTCCAGAGTGCACTGAGCCAACAGAAACAACTGCTTCACACTAGTTCTAAGTGAGAGAAAACTAAAAGTGTTTTTGAATAAGTAGTTTGAAGACAAATTTCAATGAAAGTCATGTGAATTTAATCTCTGAGAGTCAAGCACATTATAATTTGTAAAATATTGCTATAATCAACTTCACTGCACCTAAATGAAGAGTTAACCTGTATGCAGAAGGAGAATATTCATTTAGTTTAGATACTGGTTTTCAAATTTTTCCCTATATAACCAATTAGAATAAACTACTGGAATTACTATTATATTTTTTTAAATGTAAAAATGAATGAAGCTTTGGTAAATGATAATTATAAGATCTCTTATATAAGATAATATGATATTGGTATTCTCATTCTGTCCACATTTAAACCAAAATCATTTTTGCAAGGTATACTATGGGATAACTATGAACAATAATAGGGAACAATTGATGAACAGATGCTTTATTTATTTGCTTGTAGAAACTGTGACTATGTCCATTTAGGTAATTCATAATACCTAGTGTTTTAATGAGTTGTTACTATGCTGTTCCTGCACCAAATATATCCAATATAAGGTCAGGAAAATAATTAAGACATTTATTTATGCCTGTTTTGACACCGTATTTACTAGTTTTTAAAAGTAAATGGGCAATACAAAGACTAATTGTACCAAGTTTTGATTAATCTAACTCTAGTAAAAAAAAAAAGGAAAAACATTAATATATTATGGAAGAATACATTAGTAATCACATACAAGTGAAAAGACTATCACTTCTATGCCTAATATGGGCTGTTCACTAGCAATGTTAAGAATAATAAACTCAAAAAAGCTTCTGAAAAAGCTTTTTTTTAATTATCAAAGTGTTTGTTTGAAAAATAGGTTTATATCCATTGTTTTTAATGATAAGCTTCATTTTGAGCACTGATTAATGATAGTCTAAGGTCAATCCAAAGAGCAAATCATTTTAAAATTAAACTAAACACCCAAAGTGTGCAGACAAACAATGCAAAATTGGACAGGTTTTTGAAATGAGTATCATAATTCAGTGACCAATAGAAAATGAAGAACTTGTTAAATTTGAACTTCCAATTTTTTTTCCACTACCACAGTCATTAGAACATATGTTAAATAATATGAATTAGAATCAGATTTTTGAACTTCTATGTGAAAATATAGGAAAAATATTAAACATAACAAACTAAATTTCAAAATACTAATTATTAAATTTTATTCTAACAATTCAAGTGAAGGCAAAATGCATTTTATTATTACTTCATGAAAAAATATTTATTTCAACCTTATCACTTTTCTCTTAAATGATATTTTCCTTTATCTTATAATATTATACAATAATACATACACATGTAAACATGTAAAAACAAATATATGGGTATTTTTATGTGCTTTACTTCCTCATTTAAAATAACAAGGAAAGGAGCTGTTTCAATCAAGTGAAATTTATGATATTTTTAGCAAGCATACAATTTTAAAAGTAAATTATTTGCATGAGATTTTCTTGAACACTTCTAAAATGTATATTCTTGGTATCTGAAAGAATACTCTGGGAAAAGTTTCCTTAATTTCAAATGTTTCAGAGTATATACTAATATAGTAATTATTTGCTTTGTGTTTTACTAGAAAATTGCTCCCCTAAAATAACCAAACAGTGTAACTTCATAAAATTTAAGACAGCCCCACAATTGGAGATTCTAAAAGAAAAAGCAATATATAATGAATAATGTGTCAGAGAACACAGACACACTAAAGTACAATTTAGCAAAAACAAAATATCTGCAAAATATCAACTACTGTACAGTCTATTTACAGGAAAAGTAAGATTCTTGGGTGATAATAAATAGTTGAAGATCCAAGATTTGAAACACTCTTTATGAGAAATTTAATGCAAATTTCTTCTATTTCTTTATAGATGTGGTCATAGACAAACTCAGTGAATTTCCTGTTTTCAAATGTGTTAGGGGCAGAACTCAAATAAAGATGGCATTTCCGGTCTAGTGTTCTACTCACCACTAAAAATCTGCGTTTATACAATGAATTCCTTCAGTGTTGCTCAATAATTTGTTCTGCAAGCAAGCAAATCACTCTTTTTTGCACAACCTATTATATAAACATGATTCCAGTGATACCATAACTTAGAGAATACAACGTATTCTTCATTGTAGAATTACATTAATTACGCTTCAGTGCTTGTAGCCAAATACTGAAGACTTATTTTTCCTCACTAAAACACACCCAAATTGCAGGACTGATCTTAGAGTGATCTCTCATGTACTATCATTGAGTAAGTGTATTTAAAAGTAGTAAATTTTATTAGGCCCTTTTCGCTAATAAAGAGTAATCTCGCCTGAGTAAATCCCAATCAGTGCTTCTTCTAAAATGAAGAAAAACATAGTTTATGAAGCAGGTAAGTAGCAATTAAACAAGCTACGTTCTTGGACTAGATAAGAATAGTTAGGCTCAACATCTTGCAGTTGGTGCTTAAAGGGAGATAAAACAACAAGATGTTAGTATTGAAAACCTCGCAAAACATTGGGCACTTTAAACACATTATCAGCAGAGGGTCAATAAAACCAATTAGTAGAAGAAAATAAATCTCTGTTATACAAAAATGCTCAAATGAAAACTGTACACATAGCTACTGCATATCCTAACTATTGTGAAGGTAAGATGTTTGGCCTTCCCATTTAACTAGAAGGCAGGCAAGTTTCACTAGTAAATTAGAAACTGATCTAGAGATTAAGATTTTAATAGCATAATATTAAAGCATATCTAATAAAAGTATTCAAAATAATAGAGAAAGTCAGAATTAGTGATATAATTTGTTGTATTTAAATTTCTAACAACTTCATTAAATATAGTAAGTTACCCCACTTCCTAGGTGTGGACTATTTCAAAATTCATATCAAAAAATTTGTTTTAATGACAAATTTTCAGTGTAAACTTTGTTTTCAGATACTGTTCTGTTTTCATTGTGCCATACATAAATATAATCATTGAAGGCCAGCCATCAAAGTGAAATGTTCTTCTGGCATAGACCAACAAAGGGACACTTGTCGAGGATTACTCACATTTACAGAAAGTATCAAACAGCAGGGCTAACACTGGCATTTTAAATTTTTGGAAAGGCTACTCTTTTCAAGAAGTAGTGTTAGACAAATGAAATATTTGCATGCAAAAAACAGAAAGAAGAAAAGAAACAAACAACTTGGCCATTTGCTTACACTGTACACAAAAATCAACTGTAAGCTTAAGACCTGCACCTGCAAACCTATCGACCAAGTTATAGGGGAAAAACTATTGCCCTTTGTATTGGCAATGAGCTTCTAAATAGCAAATACTGAAGTACCACAACAGCAATAACTCTGGCAACAGAAACAAAAATAAACAAATGGGACTTACCTAACTATAATTAAACAGTCAATAAAGAAAAGACAACTTTGAGAAGCAGAAATACAAATTCAAGCACATAAAGACAAAATGTTTGGTTTTAAAATAGACAAGGGGGGCTGGGAGTACTGGTGCACTGCTGTAATCCCAGAAGTCAGGTAAGAGGATCATTGTGAGTTTGAAGCCAGCCTGGGCTACACAGTGAAACTCTGTCTCAAAAGACAAAAAAAAAAAAAAAAAAAAAAAATAGACACTTCTCCAAAAAAACAATAAAAATGGTCTTTAAAAATTTGCTCAAAGCACTAATTGTAAGAAAAACCCAAATAAAACCACAAAGAGATACAACCGTATAAGAATTAGAATGCGTATAGTAAAAATGGTAGGCTCAGTGGTAACCCCAGCACTCTGAAAGTTGAGACTGGAGGATCTCAAGCTATAAGCCAATCCAAGTCATCTGTGATTTAGAGACCACTGAAGGAAGAAGGGGCAGGGGAGAGGTGAGAAGGGAAGGAGAGCAGGATGGAGGGAAGGAGGGGAGGGGAAAGACAAAAAGAGAAAAGGTGTGGGGGAAGGTAGGTCTAGGGATACAGCTCAGTGCAGAAGTCCTGATAGTAACACGCACACACACACACACACACACACACACACAAGATAAATGTTGACAAGTATGTGAAGAAAAACCTTACACACTATGATGTGCATGTAACACATATGATAAGAATGTAAACTGACGTAGCCTTAGCACAGGGATTTTTTGAAAGAATAAAAATAGGAATTCCATAGGACCCAGCAATACTTCTGCTTGGTACACATCCGAAGGAAATCAGACCAATGCCTCACAGAGGTATCTGCATGCCCATGCTCCTTGTAACACTCTCCACAATAATCAAGACACAGAAGTGACCTAAGCATCCACTGACAGGTGGATAAAGAAATTGTGTGTGTAAATAGTTTCAGTCTTTAAAAAAAAGGAAATACTTCGAAATAAATAGTTTAGTAGTATTTTTCAGCTTTAAAAAGGGTCTAATGCCATTTTTGATAGCATAGATATGCTGGAGAATATTATGTATGCTAACTGACAGAAAGCTAGACATAGAAAATACTGTATAACCTCACCTGTGTATGGAATTTTTAAAAAGTTATAATATTAGAAACAATTAAATGTTGGACTCTAGAGACAGGAAGGAGGATATAGGGAGAAGTAGGTCAAAGGGCATAGTGACAAAACTGTAAACATTAAGTGTATGGGTAGGTATAGAGATACAAGCTACAACATGAGGACCCCAGGTAAAATATTGTGTTTTTTTATAGGGAATTTTCTAAGAGAGGATCTTAAGTGTTCTTACTGCAAACAAAAATTAACTTCCAAAGATGATAGACGTGTTAACTTGCTTGAGTATATCAACCACTTCTCTGAAAGTATACTGAAATACATAGTACTTTATCAATACATATATATCAAGAAAATATCTTCTTTCCACATTTACAATTGACTCAAATACAAAATCAAACAATAAAGCAATGATAAGCCAAAGAATATGAAATAGATGCTAAGTGTTTCTTTTAAATTAGGTAAATCTGGACACCTAACTTTGGGGAGATTATTTATTTTCTCATTTCATATGACTTACCTGAAAAAAATGCTAATAATAATGGAAAGGAACTGCTAGAATTTTTGTAAAGATGGAACAAGAAATATATGTAAAGATTTTAGAAAATATTTGCACACCAAAAAGATAGCTTAGCATAAATCCCCAAAAAGAATCTTTCTCCCTCCTTTAATACCAACCACAAGCTGAGGGCAACAAAAAGATCCTTGGAAAGAAATCACAAGACTTCCCCATGAAAGATCCAGAATTTACATACAACACAATCAGCACTGATGTCAAGAAGAACCTACTAACATAATTAAGCTAGTGAAAAGATGTTGCCCCCTTTTTCTAATTTCTGTTTTTCTGACTTAACTGCTAAAGACCCAAAAAGCGAAGACAAAGTTTAGATTGTGCCGTGTCACTCATAGGACATTCTGCAACCATGAACCAGGCTGGAAAAGTTCTTCTATCTTACTTCTCCAGCATTATCTTCAGTAATTCCCCTACCATAAACAGATTTAAACACCACACACACACACACACACATACACACACACACACACACACACACACACACACACACACACACACACTGCTGCAGTGACACTAGCTGACACATAGGCAACCTCTGATGGGTCACTCTCTATCACCTCCAAAAGTCATT